CACAATGTCTTGCCCCCTTATGTCTTTTCTCTCAGAACCCCTCCTGCCCAGTCAGTGTCTCAGTATCAGCAGTATAGAGTAGACATCAGTAAATTTGCATCGTTGGAATGGTGGGTTGATGGCTGGGGCATTGAGTGATTTATGGAGGCTTCTGTCACAGCGCTGGCTAATATTTTCTCAGTAGATGAGACCCAGTGTGGGTGTCTCTTACATACATGAATGCTTAAAGGAAGAATGTGTTCAGGCACCACATGTCCTAGCCTTTATTTGTGGGAGGGAGAATAATGACTCCCCAAAGATGTCCACATCCTAATTCCTGGAATATGTGAACATGTTAGGTTACAGCATAGCAAAGGGGAATTAAGGCAGCAGATGAAATAAAGATTGCTAATAAACCAACCTGAAAATAGAGAGATTGTCTTGAATTATCTAGAAGGAGTTTCAGTGTAATCACAGAAGCCTATTAAAAAAGGAAGAGGGAGCATAACATAGGGACCCGGGGATCCTATGGTGGATGAATGCCAGAGAATGAAACATGGCTAGTTTTGAAGATGGAGGCTGAACCAAGGAAAGTGCACAGCCTCTATAACCTGGAAAATGCAAGGAAACAGATACTTCCCTGAGCCTCCAGAAAGACATGCAGTCCTACTAACTTCTTAATGTTCACCTGGTTAGACTGTATCTGACTTCTGACTTATTGAACTGTAAGGTAATGAATCTGTGCTGTTTTAAATCACCGAATCTGTAGTAACATGTTGCAGCAATAAGAAAACACACACAGCATTCTAAATAGACCTATTCTAGCCATCACCTTCGGGCTCCAGTCCCACTTCATACATGCCAGGGACATCCAGCCTAGGTAACCAACAGTCAGTCAATAACCTGGGCCTGCTTGTGAAGGTCCATGAGATTCCACCCCCTTCATATGTTTGGTGAAGCTATGTTCCCTGTGGACATGTGATAGAGGCGATGTGGCCACACAAACCGGGTATGTTGAGACTTGCTTGCAGCCTACAGGATACACAAGGAATGTGTATAGTGACATTGTTCCCAGCACTGATCTGCCAGAACAGTTACCAGAATCTCATTTTCTAGAGCATCCCACTCTATGGGACTTTTCCCACTGGCCATGAGTCAGTATAATGTGCCTTAAGGCCATCATCCTCCCCTCTGCTCTACTTACTGTTCTACAGTGAGTCAAGTTGAGAAGCTATATCATTCTGTTTTTTTGGGAAGTAACATTAGATTATATACTGTGCATATTTCAGATGTGCATTATTACAAGTGAACATGTGTATGACCCATATTAAGTCAATCCTTGTAGGAGAAATAGTGGAAACTGCAATGGTAGCACTGTGCCAGCAGCATACCTTGGGGGAGCTGATCCTACAAACCAAACGTGTGTTGCATGCCCATCATACCTCAATGTTTAGAAAACTAACATGTGGGTGCTTATGAACTGGCTACTAGCTGGCCACTCGTGGGTAACTGTGAACTATTTGCTATCTGCAAATCACAGCACAGCCTTCCTGGACTACCTACAGGGGACAGCCTGTAACACAGGCAGGCCTTTGAATGCTGAGGCTGCCGCTGACCTGATTACATGACTGTGTCCATAATGGTATCAGGATAACTCTGCCTGTGATAACATCAAAGACTTTGCTGACACAAATGTCTCTTGAAGTATGGTCACGATGCCCCCTTCTCTGTTCCTCATAAAATTCTCTCCCCCATTCCTCTCCTACCCTCTGGACCTTATTCCTCATACCACTGTCACATGATCACCTTTTACTAGCCCGTGTGCTTTCAATACGTGACACAAGAACTTCTGCTCGAGCAGCAGTCTTGCCTTGCAAACCTGCTCCACGACTGGTATGTGGCATTCATTGTGTTTCCCACAGCCGCAAAGCGGCAACGCTAACATGCAAGCTGACGGTAAATATGGAGGAGAACCAGTGCAGAAACCCAGGAATACAGATGGAGACTGGAGGAAAGCAGAGGAGGTGAGGAGAGAGGGAGAGAGGAGGGAAGGAAGAGAAAGAAAGCAGGGATGGGGAAGGAGAAGGGAGGGAGGGGGAGAGAGGTGAAGGCAGGAGGAGGGGGAAGAGGAGAAGAGGGAGGGGGAGGGAACTCTCTGGAATCTCTTTCATTTTTTATTATTTTTTAAAATATGTCAAATGTGAAAGAGATGGCCACAATCCAGAATCTGTTGCAATGGGCAGCAGGGAGCCAAGACAGATCTTTGCGAAAAGGAGGGTAAACGGCACAAGATGCCTCGGCAGGTGGAGATAGGGTGCATTCAGCAGACACGGAGGACAAGGCGAGCCTGGAGCGATGATTGGTTTCAGTCCCAAAGTCAGACCATTGGCTTTTCTTAACCTTCCCAGTGCACTCACAGGTCTGACATCGTTTTTTGCATTGACATTGACAATACTGTGAACAGCATTCACTTAGTCTTCATTACAGTCATTGAGGATGATGCACTAGCTTTTCTTAACTAAAAAAAAAAAATCCTGCAAATAGATTCTCAAAATTTCCCTATCGTCCATAGCTCATCAGATCAGCCCAAGCAAATACCGCTTTTAATGAAAAATCATGAGTGCATAAACATCAAATGATTTTTACTGCTATTCTCTATTAATTAACTGACAGGTTAATAATATTTTAACAAATAATCTGTGACATTCTCAACAGCCCATCCTAAAATATGAGTGTTAGTCTACACTGAAGGGTAATAAACTTAGAATGTCTATTTAGTGCTTTGCATTTTTGTGGCATTTTCAATTGCACTGTGTCCTTGGGCTTCCAGAGAGCTGTGGACATGGCCTAAAAAAGACTCAGAGGTTGAAAGCCAGGATTCAACCCCAGGTGGCACTGCTCAAAACCTATTGCTTTTTCTACAGAATCACGGTGCTTCTCATGTTTGAACAAATGGCACGACATGTGTGAGAAGCAAGACAGGAGGCCAGAGGATATAATAGCTGAGCTGAACCAGCCGGCCATGCCCAGCCAAAATGAGGATGGGCCCCATCAGACCCAATGACCTTACTCCAGGGCCAGAAATGCTGAAATGGAAGCTGTCGGCAGAGAACAGGCCTGGTTCATCTGGAAAATGCATCTCGTGTGAGGGATGCAATTTCCACTTCCTTACTCATAATGTATCAGGGACTATTTCACACCTGGTCCTATCCCAGCATCAAGGACCGCTGTGCAAACACTGGGACCGGAGGACCCCGCCATGTATGCTAAGACTGGGCCCATTCCAGACCAACAAAGCTGGGGAAGGAGGGAGGTCAGAGCTTTTGCTATGAAATAAAGAAATTCTGACATCAGCTCTTTAAAACTCTCTTCCTGTTCCAATCAAAATGTCCACATCTCCCAGCTGGGATAAATAGACCCAAGGTCACCCAGGGCTGCCGGGTCTTTGCCAATAGCGTGGACATGGTGCCTATGGCTCTAAAAGGATCCCTACTGGCCATGGCAAATCTACCAGGGAGCCAGGTCAGCTGGGGATACAGCATTTCCTTTAAGTCCAAAAAACTACATGGGACCTGAGGGTGGAGGAATCAGCAAATTTGGATGCAGTCATGTGCCAGGCGCCATACTGGGCTCTTAACAAGATTTTCTTATTGATTTCTCATGGACACTGTGCCAACATAACACAAAAACACCACTGCCTGGAAAAAGAAGCTGAGAGTCCGAGATTGTCATCAAATTCTGCCATGGTCAGAGGGCCCCTACATCTACAGATTCATAATCTAGCCCACTGTGACATCCAACATACATAATATGACCTCTGCATACCTCCCCCAACCCCTGAACATTCCAGTCTTTGTTGAAGGATCCGATACACAGTTGCCAAATAAACAGGTGAGTGCAGGAATTTCCACCACTGCAGGCTTTCCTTTTTTTTTTTTTTTTTTTTTTTTTTTTTTTAACACTTTTTTTTTTTTAACACTTTTTTTTTTTTATTTATAGAGGCATGTTTTTATTTATTTATTTATTTGTTTGTTTGTTTGTTTTGTTTACACATGCACTGGGTACAGTCAGAAGCGCGGGAGGGCGAGAGAATTCACCAGAGCCAGAGCGGGGAGCAGAGCAGGCAGAAGGACCGAAGTACACTGCTGAGGGGAGCAGCGGGCGGCAGGAGAGGTCTGCGCGCCGTGTGGGACCCTCCTCCGGTGGCCGGGGAGCAGCCGGGGATCGAACCGCTGCGCCGCAGAGGTCACCGGCAGCTTCGCAACCCAGCGCTCAACCGCTGCGCCACCGGGGAGGCCCTGCAGGCTTTCCTTTTAATGATGGAATAAACCAGAGAGGTAACCGATTTAAAGTAGAGCAAGGGAAAAAAAAAAAAAAAACAAAACAAAAAACAATTGGGCTAATTGGACAAACTTGGCAAACCACCAGCATTCAGTGTGACATCTCCAGAGTACAGGAGAGGAGGATTCTGAGAAAAGCAACTGCACAATTTGAAATGTGACTGGGACACTGATACCTCTTGGAAAATATGTCCCCAGGGAGACTTTACATCTTAACCTGAAGAAAGGGTGTGGTGAGGAGCAGCGAGGCCACCTAAGGCCCCAGGTCAAGGCACAACTCAGCTCAATCCTGCTTGGGGGACAGGTCCCTCCAGCGACAGCAGCAGTGAATGTTCAAGGTTGATCCCTACAGATCTTCATGCCTCACTACTGAAGGCTGTGACTAGAATCTGATATGAGGGAAGGCCCCCAGAGAGCCCGCAGGAGGCTCACCAGCCTTTGGGAGCCCAGAGCTGACCTGGTCAATGTGGATGGCGGGGATGGCGGTGGCGTGGGAAGGTGGATACTGCATCACCCACTTGGGTCATGGTTAACACTGATAGAAAATTCAGTCGCTGTCTCGTCATCTTCCCCTCTTCCCAGGCCAATGTCATGACCCTGAGGTACTACATGGTCACAAAGTGGATTCTGCCAACTGCCAGCGAATGTTATGAACAGTGGTGCCCAGTGGAGACCACCTACCTCCACATTCCAGGCTCTGACAATGACCCAGTGAAGCTCCCACAATGGAGCTGTTTCTTCCCTCAATGCCTCAGTCTCTCATCTGTAAAACAGAGATTGTTGGGATATTTAATGAAAAAATCTACTCAGGGATGTGCTTATCATGTCTGTGACACTTTGTACCTCTGTTTCAGCTGTCAAACAGGAGATCTAATGACCCTCCACAAAGTTCTGACTCTGCAATCCTAAAACCTAACATCTGACCACAGCTTATTTCTTCCCAGCTCTTTGATGGTGTGCCATCTTTTGTCTGACCTTATCATGATCTCCAGTGGCTTGAGGTGTGCTCTAACTTCATCACCTCCCTGCTTGATCCTTTTCTTCATCCCACCAGTATCATCCATCACTTTAATCATTCTCCAGGTCCTTTCTCTAATAGCTCCTTTCACAGATGGGCAGACCAACCATCTATCCATGTTGCTACCCCACAGGACCTCCCGCCACTCCCGTGCTATAGAGCATGGCCCAGCTGTGCCGTCTTGGGTTCTATCCCAGTTGCGGATCAACACACATTGGCCCCAGGTAGGTGCTCTCCATTGCTCTGAGTAGACCTGCTCCAGTGTCCTCAAGCTCCCAACCCTACCTCTCTCCCAGTCTCACAGCAGAACACCTCGCTTCCTACTTCAAAGTGATCGCAGAAGGGAAGTGTCAAGTCCATTAATGTTTTCTTCTATCACCTACATATGTAGACATCTCCACATCATCCTGCTCAGAGGAAGATATAGCTGGTCCTGCCATCTCTGTGACACAGCTTGCTCAGGAGGCTTGCCTGTCATGTCTACCTGCAGTGCAGCCAGACTTTCCTCACCAAAGCCTTGTTCCCTCAGCATATGCACAAACTCAGACTTTCCATGCCTTAAAAAGAAAAGAAAAATATCCCTCCAGCTTCTATCTCCTTCCAGATCCCTCCCCCTGGCTCTGCCACCTGATTCCCCATGCAATCCTCTAGGAAGGTCAATACCAACTATGAAGTTGCACTTGGCTCCCTTCTCCTAAGAACTCAAGGTTCCATCCACTCTGGGGGCATCCCTGGTGGTGCAAGAGGTTAAGCACAGCACTGTAAAGCTGCGGACGCAGTTACTGCAGCACGAATTCCATCCAGGGAGCTGACCAACATGGCACAGCAGACCTCTCCTGTCTTGCCTGCTGTTCCCCTCAGCAGTGTATTTCAGTGAATCCACCTGTTCTGCTCCCCACTCTGTCTGGTGAATCCTATCACACTCACACCTCTGGTCTATACCCCAGTTCTTGTTTGCATCAATAAATAACTCTTTAGGGGAAAATAAGTTTCATCCACTCTGACCCTATCTGCTTAACAGTTTTAAATCCTCCCCATCTCGCCATCTCATTCACAGTGATGTGTTCTGATCTTCCAAATTTGCTCAAGGACATCAAATTAATACCCCCTCGACCTGGTTTCGACTCCATGATAAAGAAGGAAAGTAAGAGTATTTTTCTCCTTGTGCAGCATTCCAAAATATTTCCATTGCTCTGCAGGGTAAGATCTGGTCTCCTCTCCTCCCCAAGATATGCTTGGGGCACAAGGAAGGCCTTCTATTGTCTGGTGGCAGTGGCCATGGCCACAGTCAGGCTTACTCAAGTGTCTGGTGACAGAGACTCTAGTTGCTGATGAGCTCCCCTCAATCTGGGTGTGTATCCATTTCCCTCGTATAAAATGCTTTAATTGAGAGATAAGTTATTCCAAACTTTCAGAGGAAATTCATCCAATGTGATTCAAATGGGAATATTTTAATAGCACAATGGAAATGTCATCTTCAAGAATAATTTTCAGGTGGCTATTTCTTGAGTCAATTCTCCTGCTGTCTAAGGCATCCCTCAATGGAGAAGGTGTTATGAGGGATAACTTTGCAGGATCTAGATGTTGTCTTAAGATGTTTGCAAGTCCAGGGTCAAAGGGTCCTTCCTCCTACCTGACAGTGGTTTAAACCCACTACCCTCAGTTCCCAGCATTCTGACCTAAGCATATGGGGTGGTCTTGATTATACTCCTTTCAAAATGAGGGCCCTGACATTTAAAAACAAAGAGGAGATGCATTTTCCAGAGGTTCCATGTGCAGTGTCTATAGCAGAGTTAAAATCAAAACCCATTTTGTTTTGTTTTGTTTTTTGTTTTGTTTTGTTTTGTTTTTAACCACTACGGTGTAGGGTGTCTGTCCATAGGTGTCTAGGGTCCACAGGTGTGTATGCGGCAGCAGCCACTGAAATCAAGGCCTGGGGGCCACAAGCAACCTCACAGTTGCCCAATGAGGGGGAATGAAGGGAGAGGCATAGGGACAGGAAGCACCAGGCCCCAGGGAGCTCCAGGTGAAGAGGAAACAGGCCGAGCTGAGTTCTGGCTAATGCGGTATGCGTCCCTGGGCTAATTGAAGAAGCGCTGAGTATCCTGTCTGCGTCAGTCCTCGAATAGCAAGCACCAGGCACTCAGATAACTACTCCCCACCAGCTTTCTACAGAGCCAGTTAACAATTCTGCACCACTCCAAGACTCCGGTGGCCAGTCAGTGCCATGCTAAATTGCTCCCACCATCCAAGCCAAATGCACAGTGCACTGACACTGTTGGCACAGCATGCAGCCCAGCATGGGTGTGCCTGCCTTACACAAGTGTGTGTGTGCACATAAGCTTTGCACAACATGCTTTTCTAATTATGCTCTAAGAACCCATGAATGACCCAGTCACTCAACCTCAAAGTGAAGACTCAATTGCAGTCCTGCTTTCCCAGAAGCCCGCAGGGCCTTGTCAGCCTCCTCCCTATGAATGTCTCACTCTCCCCACTCCCCATTTCCCCAATGTTGGCCCAGAACCTCCTAATCCCTCAACTGGAATATGTCTCCCTGATACTTCTCCGCCTTTCCATGGAACCACCAGGGAGGTCTTTCGAAAACAAGTTATAAGCACACAGCTCCTCTGCTCCACCTCGTCCAGTTCCATTGCCCACAGCAACGTATCTCAGTCCTTTTGCTTACCGATCATTGAAGACTAACCATTCATTGATTCATCTACTTAACAACTATTTACTGGTTATCTGATTCATGTCAGGCACAGTTCTAGGCACTTGGCGTAAATCAGAGACAATGGCTCCTGCCACCAAGGAGCTTTCATTCTAGTTGATGGAAAAACAACAGATAATATAATAATAATAATAATAATAATAATAGGGCCTCCTCGGTGGTGCAGTGGGTTGAGAGCAGAGTTGTGGGGCTGTCCGCAGCCTCTGCAGTGCGGGTTCGATTCCCTGCCGGCCAGGGTGATGTCCACATGGCACAGCAGACCTCTCCTGTCTCACCCACTGCTCCCCTCAGCAGTGTATTTCCATCCGTCTGCTTGTTCTGCTCCCCGCTCTGTCTCTGGTGAATCCTCTCACCCTCATGCACCTCTGACCTGTATCCCAGTTCTTGTATAAAAATATATATAATTTTAAAAAAAAGTTTAAAATAATAATAATAGTCATGATAACTATTCAAACTATAGCATATGTTAGAAGGTGGTGAGTGCTATGGGGAAAAGAAGCTGGAGGACAAGGAAAAGAGATCTGGAGTACTGGGGCATAGGTGGGTTGAGGGGTGCAAGTGTCAACTGAATGGTCAGAACAATCCCAACTGAGAAAATGACACTGGAACAAGACCTTGAAGGAGATGGGGCTGCGAATCTCAAGACTATCTAGGGGAAGATAAACTCTCTGGCAGTGAGAAGAGCTTGGGGAAAGGCCCTGTGGTTGAAATATACTTGAAGGGTTAGAGAAACTGCAAGAAGGCCAATGTGGGCAAAAGAAAGTGAGTAAGAGGAAGAGGCGCAGAGGAATGGCATACAAGAGGGGCAGGGGCCAGATCATGCTCCTCTGTCATCCCCTCTGCCACCCACTGGCACCCTTTCTCTGACGCTTGTCACTGTCCTAACTTCCCAAGCAGGGCGGGTCCTCATGCTTCCCGATCTATGTTCTCATGCTGTGCCGGACTGATCACCAAGCCTCCTGCACCCCAAGATCATCCCCTCCCTGTGTACCTGTAACCTTGACCAAAAGCCATTCTAGCGCAGAAAACACAGAAATGCAATTGGCCATCTCCTGCCTCTGTCACCTGGGGACTAAGTTCCTCTACAGAAGAACTGCTATCATCTCATGATGCTCTTTTTCACCTAGGGAGCACCACATGGTCATCAACAGCAAAGGCACTAGAATAGGTGGGTAGGAGAAGGCGTGCTGGAAATGATTGCCTTGGCTGAACATTGAGATTATCTTGGCCAAACATACACTAAACTTCCTTGGGTCTCAGTTTCCCTTTCTGTAAAATGAATACAGTAATTTCAGGCCCCCCTATCTTTCAGAGTGATTTTGTTAGTCAAAACAGAATGGTAATGGCCAAAGCAATGGAGAGGAGCTCACCAAGGTCATCATTTTAACTCCTGTTGCTGTTAGCAAACCTTTTGTGCTAGATAAAGAGAGGCCTCTGGTTCCAGCCTCACCCCAGTTGTGTGCCCTGGTTTGCAACAGAGGCAATAATATGATAAGGATTATTTGGTATTGCACATGACTTGTTTGCAAAATATTAAAGGGGATCCTGACTCCCCACGAGTGATGAATTAGGTGGGTCCCTGGATCCATTTCTGGCTGGCCAAGTGTAGCAGGTCTGAGCCAGGCCTGCCGTGGGACTGCCAACAACCCCTCCCCAGCCCATCGCCATCCCCACACATTGTCAAAAAGGCATCCTGATGGATAGAGCTCCTGCATGCCACAAGGTAAGTGTTTAAATCTTTTATAAGACAGTCAATGGCCTTTATAAACCCTCAGACAAGAATTACACTGTGTCTGAGCTGAGGCTGAAAGTCAATGGGAAATTGATTCTGTCTAGCTGGTGCTGTTTCAAGGAGGCGGCTTTCTGGGTGCCTTCGGGACCAAACATGCCATGTTCCGTGTGCTCCCAGACCCTGGCGTGTCACACAGGAGCACACAGAGACACCCAAACCTATCTTAGGGTAGCCACGCTCCCAACACAGGAAGCCCTCACAAGGTATCAACCAGGACCAGGG